AAAGGTTGAAATATATAGCATTAATTTCATGTCATGTTAAATCAAACAACAATTTTTTTTGTTCTGTAGATTGTGATCATAATCGTGAAGGAGTAGATTGTCAACCAATACAGTCAATCAATCAAATTGAATCAGAAACAGGTATTCTAGCGTTTAGAAAATAACAAAGAAAAATAAATATTCTTTGAAATTTAGCTGGAACAACACCATCAAATAATCACCCACCGGATGTAAAAGCTTGTGTTAGAGCCATTTTGCAATATCCATCAATAATTTTATCTTCATCTGATATTGCTCTTGCAACTCGGCATTACTCTGCCGTAGCTCGTCAACGTAGTATTCAATTAATGATTAATAAAAAGCTTTTGCATGAGGATTATTATTTCGTTCGGAAGTTGTCGAAATCGGTGAAGGTAATGAAAGGTTTTGCTAAACGAGTACCACAAGTAAATGATGAACAATCACGTTTTGATTTCATTACTGCTTTAAATGACTTTGGAATTACGTGGGAATTATTTAAATCTTTTTTTGATCTTACGAAAGATGGTATGTAGATAAAATGGTAATAAATATAAAAATTAATTTAATTTCTTCTATAGGCTTTCATACAACAACACAACTACTTTTGAATCAAACAGCTGAAGTTTTGCTGGATTCAGAAGATTATCGCTCTTACGTCAATTATGATAAACGTGCAATATTTCGTCCGATTGAAAATGCAACAATAGAACAGGATGAATTGGAATATGGAGATAATGTTACAGGTAATATAATCTCGAAAAAATATGTATTGTTGAGCTCCATTGTATTCCATAGGTATTGAGCCATTTGAAAGTGTAGCAAAAGAAAGTGGAAAACGAAAAAAATCTCAAGCTGCTTCTCAATCCAAAAGAAAAAAAAGCTGAACAATTAGATATTTTATATTTGCTTTTATAAAACAATTTTTGCGAAGGAAAATCGTAAAAAGAAACAGATATTCGTTGCGTATCTTTTTCTTTTGATATTATTCCTTTAAAGTTCTTTATTAACATATACAAGTCTGATTTGTTTTTGTTATCATATTTTCGTATTTATTGATTTTATTTATAAGAAGTTCCAACAATTAAAACGAAACAACTTTTGAAAGTGAAACATATTACATCAGTATATTTTTTCTTTTTTGTCGTTAAAAAATCAGCTTTTTATCTTTATATATATAGACTATTTCCAGATATAAACAAGATGAATAATACATCTTTAGAAATTAGAAATGATCTTTTTTTTTTACCAAGCTATTGAAACAAGCTCCAATTTACACCATAATGATGCTACATGAAAGAATAAAAAATGCTTCTATATTAAATGACAAATATTTTGTTATTTGTGAGATTATCAATAAGCAATTTAATACCAACTTTTCACCTATTTTTATAAAACAACAAATTGATTTTTTCTCATCATCAGAATTATATCGTGGATATTTAATGGTTTCTACGGATGTTGATCAACTGATAATTGATTATCAAAAATTTACTAATTACTCAATTGTGTTCAGAAAAATTGAACCAATGTCGAAGAAATGTATTGTTTGTTCAGATAATGATAATGTGCTACCTGTATATCAATTATCAAAAACTTTTATATTTACTGAAAACGTTTTAGAACAATGCATAACTTTATATTCTCATTGTAAAATATGTAAATGGTCATATTATCCAAATAGTTACGGCCATGATATTGCCAGAAAGCAGTACATACGAAGGGAACAATTTTTAAATGTAGATGCATTTTATTTTGGAGGTGAATGTGTTTATTCTCAAAGAATCTTTTTATCATTTTCAACAGCTTTAGTGACAATGAAAGCTTCTTTTCATGGATTTGTTAAATACTTCAATAGTATATTTATAAATAAAACAACATTTCCTGAGAAAAAGCTAGATGAAAAAAATTTTCAAATTAATTGGATTATCTATTGTGTTTTGAAGTTATTATTACAATGGAGTAGTGAAGAAGTTATTGAAATTCCATATTCTTTATATGATAAAGACCAAGCAAATGCCTTTTTTTAGTCGACATAAAAGTCAACTTTACTCAGCATTTGTCAAATATTGGTCAAATAAAGCAATGCACAAAACTTCGAATTGTACTACTAGCTGCACTGATATATTGATAGTCGATGGACATCAAAAAACAGCTCGAACAACGTGTAAATTCAACAATTGTTATGACAACACAATTGAAGAGTTAGGACCTGTACTAGTTGGATGTCCTAAGTCGGTTTCCAAGCATTCAGGTGCGTACACAAGTACTATTGCTTTTATGAATACTATCTACTCTCAAAGTTTTCTAGAAATCAATTCGAATGGTCTTTGCGAAAAGCATCTCGAAATAGTTGCTAATCGTGGTATTCATGTTATGGAATTTGATGCATCGGATGATGTAACAGATGAAACATGTAACGTTAAACGTAATGAATTATCTGACGATCAAACTCGATCGACAACTTATGGGTTTTTGGTTTCCTTTTACTCGTGTGGAATCGTGGCTGGTTTTGATGAATCAATACGATCTGAGTCACCACGTCGTGTTTTAAGACATTTAATTCGAATTGGTAAACCATATATTTTCTTGCCTCATAAATCCTTTTTTTTTTAGGGCGATTCAGCAAATTTCCTTTGGGAATTATATACGACACTGCTTGTTCACTAAAACTTTACATGACAGCACGATATGGAACAGATTATTTTAAATCTACTCCAATTAGTGATCATTTTTATCACAACGTTCACTTCGTGCTCGATACTTTCCATCAGCGAAATCACACTCGGCATATGTGTAGAAATGAGATGCGTGCAGATCATCGATTGCACAAGAATATGTTTGACAATGTTAACAGTCAGATTGCAGAACAAACATTTTCTATCATTAGCCATTATAAAACACATTGGTCCAATTACTCATATCCAAAAAGCTACATATATTTTATCTTATTTTTTCATACATATAACTGTGATGTATCTGAAGCTCGATTTTAAATAAATTTGAAAC